CATTTTACAATAATAATTTTATGATAATAATTTTTAACTATTAAAAATATGTTGAATGATATAAGAAATTAAAGATAACATATAAAATAATTAACATATATTTTTATGTTAATATAACTAACATATAAAATAATTAAATTCAAAAAAAGAGTTATAACTAAAATATTGATTTATCAATATTTTATCAATGATTTATCAAATATTAATATTAGACATATATCTAATATTGACAAAATAAAAAACTTAAAAAAATTAATTATATAAAAACGAAGCACGAAATAATAGGTAGAATACAATAAAATAATAAATTTTATCATATTTTTCTGATTTTTTTATTCTTAAAAAATGTTTTTTTATATTACAGACAATTTTTTAGCAAATAATTTAAAAATAAAAAATAATATTGTAAAATTTTTTAAATTTTTCTATTGCTTTTTATTTCGAATATGGAAAAATGAAATCATTTAATCATTAGAAAGAATATATAAAAACTAAAATATTTTTAATTACATTGCATAGATTAATTAATTTTATTTATAACAATAATATCATAATAATTATTTGATAAAAATTGATTTTAAAATAAGCAAAAAATTAAAATGAATAATTAAAATTCATGAAAATAAAACAAATATTTTTAATTAAATTAGATTAACTTAAGATTTTATTTATAATATTAATTTATTATATTAATATCATAATAATTATTTATAATAATAAATTGTTTATAATAATATATTGAAACATAATATATTCCTCACAAGATATGTTGATAACCTACTGCGTCATCTATTACTTTTCAGTGGAGATGGAAATTCTAAAACTTTGTTATCGATTGAGTTGTAAATACTAATTTTAATTATGGAATTGATATCAAAAATATCTTCTATCAAAATTAATAGATGTTTAAATTAGGAAATTAAGATATTTTATAATTTAAAATAGCATCTACAATATTTTTTAACATTAGTTTTAACATTATAAAAATGATCTATAATGATTTAATAAAACAATATATCAAGATAAGATTATATAAGATAATATGCAAAACAAATGTTTCAAAATTTCTTAAAAAAATAATCTTTTTCAAGTGAATAATTTTTGTGTTTCTTATTAGCAAAATAATTAATTTAATATTTTACTATTTTTTTTTATTTTATTATCATAATAATTTTTTTTTTATTAAAATGAATTAGTGAAAATTAATTTCTCTTACAATGACTCACATATTATAATTATTTAATCTGATAAAAATATTGAATAGAATATGCATTAATATTTGTAAATAAAATAATATTTTTTATACAATGAATATTCTTCATATGAAATATTATTTTTTATTTTAATTTATAATAACTTTGATTAATTATCAACTATAAAACTATAAATTAAATAATACTAAAATTATCAACTATAATACTATATCACATAAACTATATCATATAAATGGATATTATTGATTAAAAACTAATCTGATATTTATATATATTCAACGACTATTCAAATTTAATTTCTTCAAAAACAAATTTTAAAATAAAAAAATTTTATTTAACATTTCTTTTTTTCACAGATAAAATAATATATTATTATTGATTAGTAAATTATTTCTAATTGGAAAATTTACATATGTATATTTAATAAATATGTATTTAATAAATTTGATTTTCTCAAAATCGAATCTTCAAGTGAAAATATTATTTTGTATTTATCTTTCTACATACAATTCTTATTTTCTTTTGATTATGCTACGATTAATAAAACGCTATATATAGTATTTTCAAAATAACGATAAATTTCAAAATTTTTTTTTTCAATGTAAGTAAATTTCTTTAATTTTAAAAATTTTTTAATTTTTTAAATAAATTGAAACTAAATATTCAACAAATGAATGAACAAAATTAAAAATGAATTTTATATAAATAACAGTATTATTTTAATAACAGAATATAAACAAAAAATAAAAACAAAAAATGTTAAATATTTAACAGATTTATTAAATAATTGATTTATATTACAAAAATATTTCAATTGAACAACTATTTTGTAATTATATATATATTGATGATGTTCATATTTTAAAGTTAATTCCTATTTTATTTCATATAAAATACCATTTGCTTAAAGTACTATGTATGTTCAATATTATTACATTTAACGAACGCATAAATTGCGATTAAATTAATTTCAATTAATTAAATAAAATATCAATTAATAAAATTAGGCAATTAACATTGCATAAAATTAGTATGGCTATTATGTTTTAGGAGAGAAATAGAATGAAAAGAAAATTTTCTAAAATACAAAAAAAAAAAACTAATTAATTGAAAAAACATTGAAAAACTTTTTAAATAACTCTCTAATTATAATTATATTATTGCAATATTATTAAATTTGTTTTTATATTCACTTGTTTTAGTTCACTTTAATTCACTTTTTATAGAAGTGCATTTTATGTCTTTTATCAATTGTTTAAATTATTAATCAATTATATTAAATAAAATAATATAATAAAATAGAATAATATTAATATTATTTTTTCAAATATATTCTAAAAATTAAAATATTAAAATACATTACCGATTTATTTTTCCATCAATATAAATATTTAAAAAATAAAAATAATCTTTAAATTAAACAATAAAAAATAATTGTTTAATAAATAATAAAAGTAAAATAAAAATAATTCTTAAATTGATAAAAATGCATGAAAACAAATAATTTAATTTATAATAAAAA